TAGTAGTAGTAGTAGTACTCGTCGTAGTAGTAGAAGTAGTAGTAGTAGTAGTAGTCGTAGTAGTAGAAGTAGTAGTAGTAGTAGTAGTCATAGTAGTAGTAGCAGCAGCAGCAGCAGCCGTAGTGCTGATGGTAGCGGTGGTAGTGCTGCTAGTGGTGGTGGTGGTGGTGGTGGTGGTGGGAATAGTAGCAATAGTGGCGGCAGCAACACCAGCAACAGGTGCAGGAAGTGAGCGCGCTTAATTCTGCCCGAAGGTGCCGCGTTTGACTGCAGAATAAGGCCCACTAAAATGGCGTCAGAAAAAATGTCCGCACTTTGACACGACCGCTCTTGTCTCGGCCGGCATGTATGGATGCTTCACTGACACAAACGTAACCATCATGGACATCGTGGATGCTCTTGAGATGAATGCCCTCCAGACACGAAGTCCTTATCTTGGCCAACATGCCCTGGTTCGATGCGCAAATCTAAAAAATACTTCAGCGGAAGCATGGAATTTCAGTGGTTGCCAAACGCATACCAACAGTAATAGTCAGTTGGCAAAATTTGGGAACTGCTGAGCTGGTGCCTTCTGGCCCTGGCAGATTCTTCTGGTCTACCCATGAAAGTTGGTATTGTGATCCGAGTGACTACCCTACCCCCGGAAGTGTTGGCACTATCGTTGTTTTCAATGCGTCTGTCTCATGCCCCTCCATGGCCCATGGCAGTGCCAACAAAGGAGTCCATGGCTCCAACCCTAGCACCGGAGCACTGGGGACTGCATGCTGGCCAGCCGAGTGCCTCCTGACATGACTTCAACTTCTGCTGTTGTCTATACACTCTAGCTCCATGCCTTGATCTCAGGACACATGCGAGTATGATGTTCATGTGGTCGCCCACAACCAGTGTCAAGGCTTCTTGAAGTACGTTGGGCATCTCCCCAGCCACAAGTTTGCAACTATGGAGCAAGCTGGAATCGTAGTAGTCCTGGTTTGTAGGTGCCCCGTGTGCCCAGAAAGCCGCGCATGGCTCTGATACACCCCTGCCGTATAGAAGCTTCACATGGATGCAAGGGAACGAGCAAATTCAGCAGTAGACCCCTGAGCAGGTCAGAATGTGATGGCACAACGGAACTACCCGTGTGACAATCTCATCAATGCTTATTTTGGAGCCTTGGCCAAGCGAATGATAGTTTGCTTCTTCTTTGGATGGGTCTTTTCACCACTGCTGAATTGTGACGGCTTGCTGGGTTCAGTGGCGCAGCAAGGAGACCACCCGGACAGCTACTTCAATATGACTGGAGAGCGGATCTTCAAGCAGCAGCTCTACCAGTGCATGTTGTCCCAGGCTGGTCCTGAAGTGTTTCCAATCCACACTTTTCGGATCGTGTTGCCCCACCTTGCAGACAAGAGACGCCGCAAGCTTCTTCAGCAAACTGTCGAGGCACTGATACTGAAGACAGATATCGAGACGAGGCCAGGCTCATGGACCGCACAGAATCTTGGGCTGCGATGATTGGGGTAGATAGGGATCATGGAGAGATGATGGGGACGCCTAAGAAGGATTCACCCGGGATGGTTGTTGAAGCTCCGATATTGCTCGTGTATCTGGGCCAGCGCCGCCCTGCACGACTAGGTGGCAGATCATATCAACAGTTCGACACTCTTTGTGCAGGCGTTCCACCAATCAGTTTGGTTGCCTCGTCTGGCAGCTTAACGAGATTTGGCCTACTGGCGGCTGGGGCCCTTCGGCAAATAAGTCGTCACAGCCTTCCCAGATTTAGAGTGCTTCGGTGTGTGTTTGATCAGTGGAGCGGCATGCTTTCCGTATGGCAGTGCAGGACGGAGACCCAGTGGCTACCAGCAGTGTTTTTGGAGTCTCTCTGTCTTTTGAACGGCAAATATCTGAGGTTCACTGGAGCCGCTTTGCCTCGATTGATTTTTTTGGTTTGAGACTTTGAGTGATGTGACCAGCTGGGATTGCTTGTGTCAGTCCACTGAGCATCCATCGCCTACAGGGCACCACCTTCTCTTGTACTGCAGGTACGGCACACCGGTCAAGGGTCAAGTGATTGGAGGGCGCTGGAAGCCCCTGCACTACCTTTTCAGGCATGCTGCTTTGGAGGGATCTGGGGGCAGAACGTTTCATTTTGTTTTCTTGAGGGCTGTTCGTTTTAGGGTCCGCTGCTAATCGGACGTTGGGGCTGCTCGCTACACTGAGGACAACTTTGTCACTAGAGTACATTGTAAAGCTATGCTTGTAAACATCCAGCTTGAGTCCTTGGGCACGGCATGCAGGGCAAACAAGATTGTTTTATGAAAGAAAGGGCGAATAGCTGCGGTGAAGCAGGCGGTCACTGTTCACCGATGTCATGGCCACCTGCGGAATGGACGGTCAGTGGCGCTGCCTTGCTTTGGTAGCAGCTTTCGCAGCAGCGCTGCGGTCTGCAGTTCTGTGATGAGCTCTTGCCAGCTCTGCAGCTGACCTTGCCAGGTGCTATGCCAAGAATGATAGCCCTTGGCCCTTTCAGGGATCCTCGGATGGTTGTGGAAGAATTTTGAATGTTACGGCATTCTGGAGTGAGTGCAATGTTCTGCATTTAGAATCTGCGCCGATCAACTGCAGTGTTTGTGTGATGGCATGCGATTGTCTTTGATGCGCTGTTCCTTCAGTGGACAAGCGAGTTTTGTGCCCGAATCTGCCAATGGTTTGGAGCAGGCTGGTTCTGAGCAAGCAGCTGAGGACAGTGTGCCGTGTCTGTGCTGTGTCTCGGTGGCTCTTTCCCTCATGCTCCAATTTTGTTGATTCGGCTCTTTTTGGCAAGCTCAAGTGCAAGGCCTTGGTAGCTGAAAGGCCAGCATGGACTATTGCCCGCTGGAATTCTTTGTTGAAACACTGGGTTTGGACCGGAGGCTTGAAATGTTCACTGGCTCCTTCGTACCAGGAATGTTCTATCAGCTCAGGCGGTCATCCGCATGAGGCAGCTACGAAGGCGAATAGGCATACAAGTACGAACTTGGAACTCAACATTACCCACAGCGAACACAAAGTTTTTCACCTGAGGCACTTCGACGGTCACCGTGCAGTACTCCAGAATTTGGACCTAGACTTGCCGCGGGGACCTGGAGTGAAGCACCTTTTCAAGGTGGCCGATATGTGCATGTCAATGCTCCTGGTTTCCCCTCAAGATGTCAAAGCTGAAAACAAACGCAACTCAGAGCAGAAACGTTTGGTGAGGTGGACGTGCAAAACATGAGCAGCATTGACTACATGCTGCTGGCAGAATGCTCGACCAAAGTCAAAAGCAGTCGTGGGCTCCTTGCTTAAGAGAGATGCAGCAGAAAATGAGATTTAAGTCAAAGCTTGCAACACTATTCCAAATGTAGCTTATTAACGTTTGATTTTGATTTGCGGGCAGAACTTGGCCTAAGATTGGTGCTAACTTGACCTACAGCCCAGGTCAAATTTCACGGCGTTTGGGGCCTCAGCGGAGCATGTGGCCGCCAGGCTTGAGCATACGCGCCTGGAACGTGTGGCAAGTTGAGCTCGATAAGCTGAGAGTTGCCGCTTCAAGGTCTCCTTCAATGAGATTCTCATGGCTGCGGTCTCAGTCTTGGACAGTTAGGCACAGGAGCCAAATGACTCACCATCAACAAACGGGCGAGCAGTGAACATGAAGTCTGTTGGATGCCATTGATGGTGTCAAAAAATCAAAAACCAAAACTGCAGGCTCGGCCGGCTGATTTAAGGCTTCCACCAGCGAAGGCAGGACGGGCTTGTTCATGCTCCGGGGACTCAAGTGGCAGAAGCATGCATCAGGTGGTCTTGTAGCTGCGGTGAAGAAGCCTGTACACAATTGTGTCGACATCAAGAGGTGTCAGCAGAGCATACCAGAGCAGGTCTCCGCGGTTGTAGCTTTATCATCAAATGCAGACGGCAGCATCGACATCATGCTGACGACGGAGCCTTGATAAACGACCAGAGGCAACCCGTGGCCTTGCTGTGTAAGCAAACCCGAAGCGGAGGCAGTCCTCAGAAACAGCGGTGCCATGTTGTGTCTAGAGCAAAAGGCAATCTCTGCAGACAGTTGATCAATAAAAACAATTTCTGCAGACGGTTGGTCAATGCTGGCTTGCTTGTTGCGTTTTGCGGCCAAGGACAAGACTGCTCTGCTGCTTGGTTGCAGGACATATGGTGGTGTTGTTGTTGCTGGTGGATGTGGTGATGCCATAAGTTGGGTGTTGCTGCCCATCCCAAAGGGCTTGATCGACTGGTGAATCGTGATCAGTACAAGGTTTGTGACGTTGACAACCCTGGCACATGGCCGATTCAGCGACAACGCTTTTGCCATGCCTCCCGGGACCGGCAAGGCAAGGCAGAATTGCCTGGGAACCGGTGTCCCTGTCTAGGTTCCTCGGGAAGAGTAAAATCTTTATGCGTTTGCCACGTTGGGTCTGGTTCTTCATGCCCATGTCTGGAGCAAAGGGTTTTTGGCTTTCAATACCGGACAAGCTTCTACTAGCTTGTACGCAGGGCAGCCTTGTCAGGTACAGTTTATCCCATTTGGAGCCCTGGACCGCGCGTTGTTGCAGAGGAGTCTGCGTGTGGAGATCCCTGGCACAAAACGTTCTGGCAGGTCTTTCTGTCAAGGCTGACTGTCAAACTGTTCCGCTAGGTCCAGCGACGAGCAGGAGAAAACATACCCCACACGTAAGTTTTTCGGCGCCGCTTGACGAGCCTGCAGCAAGAACAAGAAGAACACTCATGCTTTGGTGATGAAGAGGGCGGAATGGAGACTTAGTGTACGAGGCAGTGACGGTTGTTCGTCAAGTTTATGCTGACACATCGGGCATCCTCAGGTTTGGATCTTTATTTTCTATTTCAAGTACATGTAACACAAACTCAGGCATCTTCAGCCATACCAAGCAGGCCAGCGCAGTGAGAACATCTACGTTTAGTTTCGCGGATCCGCTCTTTTGTCATTGGACTGAGGGTCCAAACATGCCACACGCGCTGCGCTGTCAGCCAGCATATCAGCCTGTGTAGGCAAGTTTGGCCCACAATTCACGTTTATTTTTTCTTCAGTAATTCTGATATTTAATGCTCAGTGTTGCTGAGAAGCTGCTCCATTAAACGACCTGTAGATTTCCAGCATTTGGCCTTTGCCGTGAACTTGGTATTCCGGAGAGGCTGGTTGCCGGCGAAGATGTGCAGGTGTGTCTGCAGGCATTCCAAAAAACTAGAGGGGTTCGAGCAAGCACAGCGTACTGGAAGTTCAGGCTTCGCAGTCAGGGATTCTATCGCTGGTCTTGTCGGCACAGATGCTATTTCACAACACAAATGGAGAAGCTTGTGGCAGCGCGCCATCTACCTAGAGACTTCCGTGCTCAGGTAGCTTTCGGGCAGCAGTGCCTTTGGACCCCTCCGAGAGCCCAATAGCTAATCCCCTGGTCAAAGTGGTTTGCGGGGTGATCAACAAGTTTGTTGTTGTGCTAGCCAGCCCGTCCGCCCTCAGCTGTCAGGAAACTGTTATCGTGGGCAGTATGTGTGCGGCACTCTCATGCAGTTTTTCTGTACTTGCAAAGTCACTAAGTTTTGCTGAAATGATTTGGAAACTCAATGTGATTGCATTGGAAGAACTCGAAAGACTTGGCAGCGAATGGAGAGGTGTTGTCGCATTTGACACTAAAGTCCAGGGCACTACGGCCATTGATTGCGGCTGCCACTTGGGCAGACGTTTCTGCGCCCTTTGTCATTGCGCTTGCATGGAGTGTTCGAATGAATGCAGCAAAAGAGCAGCGACATGCAACCACATGTTTCTGCATTGCATTGTGTTCTTGCGATCTTCGTCCACGAGCCAGAAATTCTAGGGACAGATTGACCATATGGACTTCATACATGTTAGGGTTCATTGGCTCCCTGAAAACAGAAGCTTCAAACTTCCAGTCCTCAACCTGCATAGCATGGGCAGCATGTCTTCACTCCAAACAGCAGCTACCCCCCCACCTTGCTTCGAGTCTAGCTTGCAGATTTCTCGGACACAACTGCGGCCCCACTGCTTTGCTCCATGGATGGCTGGGCGTGCGGGCGCTGTCATCGGCGCGCGCCGCCGGGGTGCGGGCTACGGCCGCGGCCGTGCCTGGGGTAGTGGTCGAGGTGGTCGGTTTGTTTTCTTTTGACATGGAGCCAGGACCTTCATAGTTTTGCCCACTCTCAGCGTTGGGGCCGCAAAGTTTGGGGTGCAATTGGTCGGTACTGCATTGTCTCGGCAGATCTTTGTGCTAGAGTCTGCAAGGCTCAACATTGCATGGCCGAGGTGTCACCAGACCACCGCTGCATTTGGCACAGCAGCGCTTCTTGCCCGGAAAGGAGAGTTCAAAGTCCATTTAGGGCTCCATGTAGCTTGACCCTGGTGGACACGAGCATCGCCAGGGAGTTAGGTTGCAGAGTCAATCTTTCTGCCTCGCCAAGGATCCTCTCTCTCCCCCGAGCGCCAGAGCTTTCAGCCACTGGCACCCGTGGCTGTTGCCAGCTTCCTAGAGGACAGAATCATCCCGCTTGAATCTCGGGATTGTGAGAGGACCTGTCAGAAATTTCAGAAATGTCAGACATGCGAGCCCTTAAGGGGTTAAGTTTGATGCCAGGGCTATGGCTACGAGGCGCGCGCAGATCTCGCCACCTAGCATGCACTCAAGTGTCTCTTCAGCGCTGCTGGGATGAGGTCTATGTATGCATGTGATTCCCAAAGTCAATAATGCGGTCGGTTTAAGTGTGAATTTGGGCTCGTGGGGGAGCTAGCTTGGACACATTAGCAAGTCAAAAGTATTGCATGATATTGCATGGACTCTCACTGAGCGCAACAAGTTCCAAAGCATTCCGCCTCTCCATGTAGAGATTTCTCTGAGGATGCCTGGGCAGTGCGCCCAGGCAGTGCAGCTGCACCGGTCATCGCATCTGGGCTTCCACGACTGTACACACAGCCTCTTCTCGGTACCTACAGATATAAATTCCCAGGCACTCGAAGTCGCAGGACACGAAGAACGTGGAGGCAGCGGTGAGCTGGAACAGTGCCTGTTGCTGGCCTAGGATTCTGAGGCGGATCCACACCCTCTGTCAAGTCTGCCCAGCACACCAGCAGCTTCCATGTAAGCTTCAGGAAGTGCCAGACAGACAAGCCCTATTACTGGTATTGGAATGCGCTCAAGTTTTTGATGTCTCACCAGCATACCTGCATGCTTGAAAAAACAGCAGCCAACTCACAAGGCATCAAGCCTGCAACGCAGAAATGGTATTCTGAGCAGCTCCAGGGAACTATCCAAATCACTGATCCGTCGGCTTCTAGAATTCTAGAGCGCAGCCATCAACTTGAAGCAAAGCTTTGGTGGGCAAGGCCACACCTGGTACCAAATGAAGTGCTCCTTGCTGGCGACACGGCTGGATGATTCGCAGTAGCAATGGCTTTTCGCGATATTTCGCGATGTTTTGCGGGATGGGTCATGACATTCGGAATCATCCAGACTTGCAAGGCACCACGCTCGGTGCCTGCTCTGCGCTGGCAGGTGGAGCAGCGCTTGCCACTCGCCAGCAAAAAGCTTTAGCATCTGGAGGCCCGCTGGGAGGCGCAGGGCCAAATCGCAGCCTCCATTTTTCTGCATGAAGGAGATGGCAAGCAACATAGGACTCAAAGTTGCCAGATGCTTGTCTTGCTATCGGCTCATCGCAGGTCAGGCCTGCGAGAAGACTTGCACGAACCTTGGTTCAAAATTGATACTTTGTGCCTCCAGGTGTGCAAGCCTTCTATCTTATAGCAGTGGGCTTGTGACAGGAAGCTTTTTTTGCAGTGGCTTTGGGCAAATCACGACGAGCTCCAGGAAAGATGGCAGAGGGATCGCTGCAGATTTCCATGACGTACATGCGAGCTACATGTTCCAAGACCAATCCCCGGCCAGCATGCACAGGTTGACCTGCTTGTGCTGAGGATCGGATAAAAGACGCTCTGGGATCTAGCTATGCCACTCACTTTGCCAAGACGCCTTTCGCGCTGAAAGGCATCGCAGCCTTCGGGCAGCTCAGTGCAGTGCGGGCACGCCTTTCTCACAAGTTATCCATGGTGCTTAGACCAGGCAATGTGGGAGGTGTGAGCACGTGAGCAAAAGCTCGGCAAAGTTTCAGCTTGGCCGTTGTGTCAAAGAAGCCCGTATGAGCCAATTTCCATAGCGAGCCTGAACATGTCCAGCCTCTATGTCGCTGAAGTCACTAGAGCATGACAACGGAGCAGTTTGTGTTGTTGTGAGCCCTGAAGTATATACAGTTGTGGCTAGTGGCTAGCCTCCATGAAAGATGGGCACTTTAGGCATCCGCTTTCGAGGGCATGATTTAAGGGTGGCTGATCCACGAGTGGAGGCTGAAGAGCAGTATTTGATTCGAGATAGGTGCTGACGTCCATTACAGCAGCATCATCGGGTTGAACTCATGGTGTTCCCAAGATCCAGACAAGACCACAGTTTGTTGCGTTTGTCGTCATCAAGTCCTCGGAAAAAAAAAGCAACAAGGTACGAAACCAGAGCTCCGTACTGGAACTTATTGTTTAACTAGAGCAGCTCCACACTTGTCAGCAAGTGAGAA